TTGGTGCTTTTATTACTGTTCTTGCTTTTGCACTTTGAAGACAGAATATAAAGCTGTTGTGATTTAATCAAATTTAATGTGGACGAGTGGGTTTGATGCGTGTGAGAAGTAGAAATGACTAAAAAGGATGTGACTGTTTTGATTAGATCCATTTATCAAAGTGAAAAACTGTCAGGTAGGACCAAAAATAATTTGCTCTGACAAACATTTTAGTGATTTAGCTTGGATATCAATAAATGATGCACAAAAAAATCATTTCCTGACCTTAGGGAATAGTAGTTTGACAAGCTCGTCTTAACTTAAAGTTCACTTACTAGCTTTTTCCAGAGCTTTCAACCATCATCACCACCATCTCACCGTCTTTATCGGGATATCAGTTTGACTCAGCTCACAAGTCTCTTGACCAAAAGATTAAACTCTGTTTTACTCATCTCAGCAAATAACACATATACAACTGCATGTTATCATGTAATCAACAGCTAGGTCACGTGATGACAACTGGCTGACTCAATGACCTAAACAGACTACATTTGTTAATGAAGACTGCGAGATCCTATAGTAAATGACCTTGAGTTAAGATTTTTCAACTAATATTGTGTTGTGTGTAAAGTCGTTTGGCCCATGTACTTATGTCGGTGGGGGAAACTTCATGTAGCATTACACAAAGTTCTTGCTGGTTATGCTCACAGTTTATTAGCACAGCTACATACCAATAATTTGTTTAGGAGATTCTACGTTCATTTATACGAATGTGTGCATTTGTCTGCTTAAACTAGTGGGTGGCCTGTCACTCTTCTTCTATGTTTATAATCTGTCCTCCTCTCTCTCTCTGTCACTCTGTAATCTAGTCTCTCTCCATGGGAGCTGTCAGACTGTCCCATGCAGACCTTTGTCCTCCTCCTGCTGCTGCTGTCGGTCAGTGTGTGGCTCAATGTAAGTGTGTGACAAACAGGCAGAGACAGAGAGACAGTGTGTCCACTCAGTATTCAATCTCAACACACAGTCTCTAAAACTCTAAATGGTTCATGTCACAGAAGAAAAGGCTCCGGCCTTCCGCTGAGAACGGACACCAGAATAATCCTCTTTAGTCAACAGTCTTCAGTTTGAAAACGTCGGCTGTCGTTCCTCTGAATGAGTTGTTTTTTTCTCTATCTCTAAAGTATATCTGTGGATGTCTGAGTTTTAAGGTGTATTCTTTTTCTTGTTTGGTGTCTGTGGAGAACTGGCCAAACATCAAGGATGGATGGAAACATCAAGGCTCCTGGGCACAGTGTCTGTTGGTGCTTGTGAGCACCCAAGCGAAAACTTCATCACAGCGTACATGTT